AAAAAATCCACTGGATTTTGTAAATATCCTGATATTTTAAATTAAAGATAACTAGTTCTAATTTTCAATCTGAGTATTATTTCAAGCCGAGTAAGACATCATACCTGTTCAACCCCACATTTGTCATCAATCTGCTGTCAGCTGGAAACTAATAACACAATTTCGGTTTCAAAAATCAAACAGTGTCCTTACAACTCCAGGATATGTTCATTCACGAGTCACTCACTAATTAGAAAATAAATTCGTAATAAGTTCATATATGTTGGAACTGTTGTTGACAATAGGTTGTAAAGTTTACTCAACTTGCACTTGGTTTATACAATTTCAAACTTCAATTTGCAATACTGCAACAAAGGTAAACTTTGTTCATATGACACGGATTTTGTGATCTTTTTGTTTATTTTGCTTGAAATATTTCCCTCAAAGGATATAACTAATAAACTCTACTTTTGGATGATGAATTCACTGACTATATTTCTACTTCAAGTTAGTGAGAAGAAAAAACAGATTAAAAAGGGGTGTTTGAAATGATGACGCGGGGTAGCGATTCAATGAACATCAAGATAGCGTTTGTCCTTTGTTATTTTGTAATTAATTCTCATTCACAAGTTCAAATGCCGGAAAAAACCCTGAATGAGCCAAATAAAAATAGCATAAAAAATCATTTCACATGAGTTATAATATTTGATAAGGTGCTTTTCAATTTCAAAGAAAACCATCAGTTGACAATCAGGTTCGGTTTTTTGATTATATCAGGTCTTGAAGAATAATATGAATCTTCAAGCGAMGCAAACAAAAATACATTTTTTATTTAACTGTACTTAGTTGAGTTAATTYAACTATTATTAAGGTGAATCCTGATGATCTAATTCTTAATTAAGAAGGCCTTCATTAGCTGTCAATCTTTACATACAAACTGAGACATATCCTATAGTTTAGACTACACACACCTTTGGTAATAAATTTAGTGTTTTGTTCAATTTCATAGTTGAGAATTGAGCAATAAACTTCGCGCGCGAGCTGTAAAATATTATGAACAAATAGCAAAGAATAGAACAAATGTATAATCTTGGCAGCGCTCTTGATCGAAATATTATTAAAATTGAAAAACGAAATTAATTTTTGTTAGAGTAAGAATCTAATCAAAAAAGCTAGTCTTGTTTTTTGGTTTCTTGCCTAAAAACTTGGAATAAAACTAAGTAAAARCTGAAACAGAATTTGAAAAAGAAGTGAATTATCATAGGGAAAAAAAATCCTTGAAACGAAAATAAAAATAAAAAATGAAAAAAATAGTGGCATTATTTTTTTATTTTTACGGTATTTTCAGCTGAGCGAGCAACAATGCTAAAGAAATAATTCAAAAAGATAGTTTTTATCTCAAACACTTGGGTTAACAAGAGATTTCTCCCAGAGGCCGGCAGAGAACACCAGCTTAAATTTACGATCTTTGTTTTCCTTGTTCACACATTTAGGGATTACTTTTGTCAAAACTGCTATGCACTAAAACAACAACCAGAAAATATTTAATGGCGGTTAAAATTCTCAATTCTCTGATTGACATCTATTTGAGCAGGATCAAATTTGGTGGAAACCATTTTTAATTCTTAGCGTATACAAACGTTGATAAAAAATTACTTATAAATTTTAAAGTCTATGATTTGCCCTCTCAGGTTTCATTAAATCCTTTAAAATCTTGATAACAGCATATACTAGCTCAAAGCGTGGCTCAATTTAGTTGGTTCTATTGTTTACGAATCTAAGACTGTGATATTTATGATTCGCCAAAATTCTATCTAATAAGATCATTGTTCCACAGTCAAAAATTATCAACATCTAAATGAAACTATAGTTCCAGTGAAAAGTATATCGGTTTTTTCTCCCAAAAGTTAATCAAATAGTTTCAAAACGCTAAATGAATCATAATTTTCAAATAAGAATTTTGTAATAAAAATTACCAAGCGATTTTTTATCTAAGTGTATTTTATCTCAGTCTTTTACGTTAGTTCCGACCAAAAAACCGAGCTAAAGTTAGTGAAATCTCTTAAAACCTATACGGCTTATCTATGCCTTCAGTCTGGGAAATAACAGGTTTTCTTCATATAATCTCTATAAATTGACCTTCCGAAACGATTGTATTCTGAAAAACATCAATCTACTCTCGCCGCAAACACAGAGGGGTAACGGAACAACTTTATTCTATTCGGTTTTGACTGACTTCAAATTTACTGACTATCAAGTTAAACGTGGTGAGAAAAGCAATGCTGATGCACTTTTGTAGGTTTTCAAAAAAGAATTCAATGCGGATAGCTTTTGATTTAATGACCTATTCTCAAATGGATTTTATTGAAATTTTACAAAGGGTTAAACTCGGGGTAAATTGAGTTCTTTTTTGCCACGCGTGTTGGAGGAGTTCATTTATAACAAAAACATAAGAGATGGTAAATTGAAACGCAAAGACACTAGACGTAACCGTGGTGCGTGTATCACACAAACAGTTAGTTCCTCAAATTGTTAACTAAAAATATTATTCCATCCAGCCAAAATGAAGAATAAGCTTAAATTAGGGAATTAAAGGTAATAATGGCATTTAATAAATAAGATAGCAAGATTGCTTACTGACTTGTGCTTTTTAGAAACTGCCAAAAATAAATTACGTACTCATTTGATTGTGTGTTTCCGAATTTGCGATATTTTGATGCTCTTCCGATAACATTTTACCCTTTCTTAGAGTGTCTAAATGAAACTTGTTCGTGTTTAAAGCTGTYAATTTCGATCCGTTTAGTTGACTTTGCTCAGGTCGCCCGGAAAGTTAAAATGCACCACCAGTTTTTATCATGAAGATGACGATAAAAATCTATCCGTGTCCATTTGATTTCTTTGTATTATTTTAGTGTTGTACTGAGTTCTACAGTCACACAAATTATAGTCTCGAATTACATCGTACTGTTCAGGAAATCTGGAAGGCTGGCTTTTACAAAACTCACTTTATGCCTCAAAACCGCACAAGCTTACGACTTTGGCTATCTCAAAGGTTCTGTCACCTAAAAGCAATGAAAACCAAAAATACGCAACATCCATGTACGGTGTGGTAAAGCTGGCATATTTATGTTAAAAGATTCGCTCTTTGATTTAGTTATTTCTTCCTTCATTCTTTGCTACAAAACTTCGTATAAATTATCACATTTAGTGTTTCTTTCCATTACGAAAAATCAACAATGAGTGAACTTAAGATAAGACTTGAAAAAACTCGTAAATCTTTCTAGAAATTTTGTAAACTTTTTATATTCTTTACTTTCATCCTCTGCTATGTATATGGAGCGGTTTTTTCCCGCTTTATCGTGTCTAGAAAGTTGTGATAAGAATCTTTCTTCGATAAGAAAAGAGGAAGATCTAGTAACAGTTACCACTAGTATTTCCATACTTATATATCATTAATTATATCAAAACTTGCCTAGACCTCCTTATCAACTTTCAAAAAACTCAAATATTAAATTTACTGATCTGACAATGGAAAACTGATAAAATTTACAGCAAGCGTACTCCCGCAAAGAATTGAAAAACATTGGAACAAAAAGGATAAAAAATATCGGAAGAGTTTCGGTTCCACGGGCTAAAATCTTCGCTGAATAAAAACCTGTGAGCATTYGTTTGAAAGAAAAGTTAGACTTATAGATTCTTTAGGGCGAATTTTATAAATTGCTACAATATTGAGAATAAAGAATAAAAATTGGAGTGAATGAATCAAAGCTGGAAATGCCGTTGTATTCGCTCAAGGTGTAAATTGCCTTAAATGTAAAAATTTTCAATGGAAAAATTATCACGGAGTTCGTTCTCACTGCTATCATTAATGGTCTCTACTAAGGCCACCTGTAAGGAATTTTCTCCCTTTTCGTTTGCAACGTCCTTCCATTCTCGTCTCGTTAAGCCCCGCAAAAAAAAAACGCAATTTGTTAGTGAGTTGAAACACATATTTTTACGAAAAGAGATAATTCATCGTTGAAGTACGATATCAAGAAATTATTAATTTTACTATTAGATTTTACTATTAGATTTTCAGATATGCTTAGACGTTGGGACAACACGGTAAAGTTCAAGCGCGACCGAGAACTAAACTGTTCAAGCAAGATCATTAAGAACACTTTGAATTATACTTCAGTTGTGTGTTTGTCATGAACTGCGTTCGTTAATGACCTTCCAATTATTGTTTTGATGAAATTAGAAATCAATTTAGAGCCGTTTTGAAGGTGCTGTACATACGAGTTGTTTTTTATTTGCCAGTCCCTCAAATCAGGAAATAAATTTCAATACAAAAAATAACCTACAAACGGATTTCCTCTTTAAAATGGGAATTGATGGCTAAACAAACGAGCTCGCGTCAGAGATTCCATTGAGGTTTTAATTACGATCATCTGATCACAGCCTACCTGATTAAAAGATTAATACATTACTGCGATGGGRAAAAAATTAGGGAATCTGCGAAGCAGGAAATGCTTCATGGGGGACGAGTCAGCATCTAAGCATCAAATTCTCACTCTTTTATAAAAATTAAAAGAGGTTAAGATTTCCAAACAAGTTGAGTAAGTAAGAGATAGGGGCGTTTGTATGAGTGTTTGAACGAGGGGGTAGTGTGTGAGTAGCCGTACCGTGAGACGGGACAGTGAGAATTGCTCATTTGGGGGTTCAAGTTCTACCACCTTCAATGTTGTTCTGTTTGTTTGACAATTTTACTTCTTCGAGAATCTTTTAGATGTCGATTGTTTTGGGGTTTAAGTTTTCTGGTATAGGGGACACCTGTCTGTGCGATAAATAAGCTATAGGGCAAGCACTAGCTTCTACAGGTGCCTCACACAACGACACTTGTCAGCCAATCGTGTCGCTCCAACTACAATAGCACTTTGAATTTGATTAACGGGACTCTTGGTCTTGGCGGTGGATTTGGACCAATCAGAGGACRGTATAGGGGTATTTTTTAGATATTACGCTACACAAGTATGATATAAGGTAGTATCATTCTGAATTCCATGTTATTCAACCATTTGATATTTACTACGCCGATCCGTAACAACAATTATAAAGAGATCGACGTCCATCAGTGGGTTAACTAACACGATTACAAACCAACTATGAGCTTCAGTCCTCAAGAAAGCCATTTAACAGCAAGCGAAAAGAAGCGCACTCCCAAATGCGCTCGTTGTAGAAACCACGGGTTCGATTCTGTTTTAAAGGGCCATAAAGGGTTTTGCCGGTGGAGAGACTGTATGTGCCCTAAATGTATGCTAATAGCAGAGCGCCAAAGAGTTTTAGCGGCACAAGTTGCTCTGAGAAGACAGCAAATGCAGGAGCAGAGAGAACCGTTACCACCGGGAGATGTCTTTACAGCTCTGCACAGAGTTAGCGATCCACAGCTTCAGACCCCTCCACCAGAATCAGCGGATTCTCCTACATCCAGGGACGAAGATCGAACAGGTTTATACAAACTTCTCATCAAATTTTACTCTTCATGTACTCGATAGATTTCCACTTTTTTCATTTTGTATATTTATGAGCAAGATTCTAATCTTTATACATTATTTCTTTATAACACTTAATTATTTCTAGAATGAAGATGTATCATTGATATAAGTTTGAATGTTATTTTTAAATACTTTTTTTTTTCGTAAATCAGACTCGCGATCTTCGAAATTTCTTTTATATCGATTGCGAAATTTGAGCATTTTTTTCTAACACTATTCTCTCCGAGGAATTTACAGACTACTCACTATATGCACACTTGTTTAGTATTAATTTCAAAAGACTTCTTCAAGAAACTATATAGCACGCTTATATACAAGATTGATAGACTTTTAAGGGGTCTATAAACTCAAAAAGAAATGAAGAACACTTTCTGGTATCGATAATCAATATCTGAAATACATGAGATATATTCCGCAAAAATGGTTTTTCTTCAGGAATTTGTGCGGCTAAAAGTAGCTTTCGCGATGTCAAAAATTAGCGATTTTTTTGCGAGTYTATTTGATACTGTTATCCTTGGTTATGGTGTCTGTGAATAACGTAGTGTCGTGCGGCTTGCATCTGGTCATTTCGAACTTTTCAAAAATTCATTGGATCTCTCGTAAAAAGGAGAGAGCTGAAAAGCTCAATTGTTCAAATGCTCGAAATCTCAAAGAAATGATTATACCATTAGTCATTTGAAAGGACGATCAGAACATTTGATGTTGTTTTTTCCCTCCATTTCAATGCTTCTATTCAATGAAGTCTATACGTATTAGTAATTCACCGTATAGATGAGGACTCTCTCGGCATGATATAAYAAATAAGATGACTTCAAATATGATTAAATTTTCTCCACAAGAACAGCCCCCAAAGGGAGTCCTTTCTTGTCACCGGCTCATTTGACTATCCTTGACAAGTGCCTCATTCTTGAACAGCTTGCTCTAAAACTACTTGTTTTAATATGGATGCTCTTTTCTATTATAGAAATCAAAAAAGAAGTMGCTTCGCCTATTGAAGACACCTATTCAGAGACTGAAGTTCAGTCCAATTCATTTGGAACGTTTCCACGGCTCTCAGGTATGTAAAGGCACCGACCCGCTGAGATCAACAGATCTTATACYTTTATTATTACCTCAATAAAAAAAACTTGGACTACGGCGGAGAAGTTAAAATTACAATTTGGCTACATTTTAATGATTTGTGGATGAGTTCAGATACAATTGAGCCCAATCAATTTGGCACAGTATGGCACAAAGGATAAGTCATTTTGATCGCGAAGTGAGAGCTGTATACGCCTTGCTTTCATATATGACACACAATGGATCATAAACGCGTACAGCTGTAATATCTGCAATCATGGAGATATAATTTTACGATTTGGTGAAAAATTAGGCCATAAGGGCGGAAATAGGTCGAAAGCCGAGTATCGTAATCAATCCTAAGAAAAAAAGAAGTAATACGTACTCGCAATTTGCATAGATAAGACAAGAAAGAAGATTTGCTTTTTTCGTTGTTTTTTTCCTTCTTGAATCGACTTTGTTGAAGTTACTGCAGCAAACATCCCTTAATTAAGTTTTYATTTTACTTCCGAAAGAAATCATATAATACGATCCGTAGATTCAGCGCGCAAAATAGCGTTTTATCTTTTCACGATAAGTTYGACTCTCGAAGTGAAAACGAACGTGATCCCGCGTGAACACGACTTACACACGTTACAAGGTTATTAAAACTGATTGCTTTATTTTCAAAGAATCACAGCATGGATCGCTCATTGAGGCACACTCAAAAGATTCTCATCCGGATTGTACTTGTTCGGCCTTCCGTCCATTTGCCAACTCCTTCGCACCTCATCCCCCAGGTAAGCTCTAATTCTTTTTATTCGTACAAATTCATTCTTTTTTTGTTATTTTTATTTAATAAACCTCAAGGTTCCTCACACCTCGGTGCTACGTACACAGAGCGGCATCGCGCGTCCCACTTCTGCCACCATCGCCAAGTTTGTCCATTTGTTTACGCTTGAATTACACTCGATTTCCAATTCAAAGTTAATTTGATTCCTCCTCCGCGATGTATAATCATTTGTCCACGGACTTCGCCCAAATGATAGTGTGATTAATACCCCGAGAAAAATCGAAATTTGACATCAGTGATGACAGATCAACTGAGATCGAACTAGGGCCTTCAGAGATAACGCCAGCTTAACAGTATCCCTTGGGTTTCGTTGAACAAGCTCTATTAGGCCGTTTATCTATATGCGGTATTTCTGGCCGTCTCAAAAGATATCTTTTCAGAAATTCCAAATAGCTTTCATTTTCACAGATAGGCCATCTGTTACTAAAAGCGCTGATTTCCAAGTGGCGTGCACCAATATCTGATTTGAATTTTGTCTAAACACTGATCGAAACTTGGTTAGCAATTAGTTCTTGAACTGCGCATTTCCTAAAGGATACGTAGTCGTAGACGTGGTTGGTCGTATTTTGCCAATCGATGGATATTATGGGTGTCAAGCAAATTAGTGTAAAGGAACTTCAATTCACTCAATTTCCTTACATTCAAATTGTTACTGTATACTGTAACTATTAAAAAAAGACAACTTCATTCCCGCAATATATGTATCAAGAAATCAAATTTTATACAACCGCCTTTTCTATATGGTTTTCAATTTCTATTTTTAACTCCCCTATCGTTAGTAAATTGTTATTGCTACATCAATATCCAATTTGTCGACGCATTCTTTCTTTAATTTTTCTTTATTTTTATTTTTTTTCATTTTTTTCCTGAGTCTAGCGATAAGCCAGAAATGTTATGCCATAACGTCGTGCCTATCGAGAAATAGCCCAACAAAAGTGACAGGCAGAACTAAAGAAATACATCGACATTTGAATGAAAAGTTTATCGGCAGATCTCCCATCGTYAAAGCGAGCTCTTTCAAATGAAACATCGAAACAGAAACGTCAAAAAAATAGTCTAAAAAAAGATTCCCTTTCACCTGTGTTCTCAGTATCGTTTTAACAATTGCTGGCTTCTCATCAGCACCGCCCAGACAAACGATCTACGAATTGGCTCACTCGTTTTTACCTTCTTAACAAGTTCCCGCTCAGCTCTCTGCTTCTAATCGCAGAGCACCAAAATGAGCAGCAAAATCCGATTTTATTTGGCAAAGCCATTGAAGAAGAATTCGCCTTTGGCTAGAGCTTATTTTCCGTAGTCCGTCCTGTGATAAGATAACTGAAGGTATAATGCTTTTGGTGAGGCGCGCAGACAACTTCCATCTGCTCCACATCTTATGCGGTACTTTTYTATGGCCGGGCTATCGGTCAAATCAGAAAGCAAGACCAAAGCAGTTTCTTTTCAGACTTTCTTTATTTGAGCCTTTTTAGAGAGAGATGAATTGCGTGAAAACCAACCACACAATAAGAYTCATGGAATGGATGCAACCATTCACGACTGCCTTCACAACTGGAATTTCTTTTGACTCACACGGATCAAGGTTACTAACATGTGGATTTTCTCTTATTTATTTCAGCTTTGAAACGAAAATCTCCGTCGGACGTTCAAACTGAGGGTTCCCAGCAAAACTACAGTGTTAGCGCCATGCTTAGCGAAGGTATACACAACGACAAGAGGAGAAGGTATTTTACGGAGTGCGAGCCAGCAGACAAGCAAGCATTTCCAGTACTACAAGTGCCACCGTTCTCTCACCGCCGTTCATCCCCGATTGAACTTCTAATGCGAATTTTCCCAAAAATAAAAGTCAGCGTTCTCCAGCTTATCCTACAATCCTGTGGGAACGACGTAGTWCAAGCAATAGAAGAAGTTCTTGCAAAGTGTAAAAGCGACCCTACAATTTTGGCYGACACGGGACCATGGTCAAGACCTCCTCTGATCGAAGATATCTATAGAGACTTTAGAGCTTTGAGGCCAGATAGCTACAAGTTTGTACGCAGTCCTGAAGCTTTTATGGGAAGTGGGAAGTCTGCCTTTACTCCGATCTCACCGTTTTTAAAATCGCCTTTTCTTGCAACCTCTAGYGCGTCGCATATTGCTTTTGCCATGGATGGTCTTCGCAACGGCAAAGACAGTTCTGTACCTATTTCTTATTTTCTAGAGCCTAGAATGAACAGCACCGCATTAGTAAACCATACACGAGATAAAACGAAATCAAGAGATAGTTTAGATATTCCTCCTCAGCGAAAATTGAGTCAAGAATGTGAAGATTCGTCAAGCGAGCGAGAAAAGTGAAGCCACTTCAATTGAGCGCGCGCTCGTTTTCCAGAGTCGCGATAACAAAAATATTCGATTTTTTCCTTCGAAAAAAACATATTCATTTTGTATATATGTACAGTTTAATACTTCCCTGAGTATTACAGAAAACAATTCTGTGGTTTTCCTCCTTTATAAGCTTGCCATTTTATGGTAAAATCCATTGTGTATATACAAAGTACTTGGGGGATTTAGAGAAAAGATTCCTTTTGTCTTATACTAAATAAGAACTTGTTTAAAAGTAAAAATCAATAAATATTGAACTTTTAAAAGCAAAAGTTTAACTGTTGTTCTCACTAAAAGGGTAATGAATGATAAGCATAAAGAACAGAAAAAATTGAATCTTAATTTTAAATTTTAAACTCAAAGAATCATTGTTACTATAAACGTTCGAGCTATAAAGAATATTCACTTTTTCGCTTAAGGCTGTCCACCATCAAATAATTTTTTGTCATTTACCATTGTATTTAGTCAATAACATTTAAAGATTTATTTTTAGCGGCAATCGCTCATTTTCATTTACCACCCTCACAAAGATCGCAGATTAAAAAAATGAAAAATATAGAATTTTTAAAATTTAAKCAATTCCTAAAAAACCTCTTTACTCTGTCTGAATTGTACGAGTTTTAGTAGAATATAAATTGTCGTAATTTCCAAAGGGTCAATGAGATGATAAAGACTCGTAAAGAGAAGGCATAAAGAGTAAAAGAGGACAATTTTAGAGGAAGAGTCTGTTGAAAACTCGTTAAAAAATGACAAATTCGGCGAATGTTGTCGAAAGGAAGCGAATTATTCACCCGTGGGGTTTATAAGCATTCTAAATAACTTCCCAAAACAGTTTTTAATACCGCTTTCAGAGACTGAATAACTAACTTTTCAAAACAACGATATGTTGCTAGTGAAATGCTTTTTTCCGTTTCGGATGGTAGTGACTGAATAAAAATCGCTTCATTAAGAACTCATCATGGGCGATGGAAGATGCTGAAAATCTCTCTTCTGGCCCTACAGAAAATAAACCCTTGGTTGATCTTTATAGGCTGGTAATGTTGGAGGTGTTTGAAGGATTTTACACTAATCCGCAATTCAAATAATAATCAAAATATAGCACCTGTATAAGTCTGTGTTAAACATTTTTGGAAAAGAAATTCGCCGCCATAAATCGCCTGGAGCCACAAATTACTGCTTATTCTTATTCAGTATTGTGATGAATTCAAAATGGTTATAGATTCATGACCATTTACAAAGTATCTACAAATAAAATCTTAAAGTCAAATAGACGACTGTCGGACTGATTTTTGAAAGAAGAGCCGATTTTTGTTTTCATTGACGCGCGATTCATAGAATTTATACAACTATTCATGAGGTGAAATTCTTTTGACAATCATATTAGATCTCGTTTCGTAAAGTTTGTTCTAGCTTGTATTCACTGACATAAGATACTTGACAAAATGTGTCGTAAAATCAGCCTTAATTTCCAAACACAAATTAAGGAGGAAAGCAAGAGGTTTAAATGAACAACACTCCCYCAACAGGGTCTACAGTAAAATCAAATTAAATACTCTTTAAGGACGGCAACAAGAGGGAAAAACTCCCCCCAGAAAAAAACGGTTCAAAATATAAGATTTGTTTTGAGCGACGTAAACTCTAAATAGTACCTGCTCGCCGTATACCCCGGAAATTATAAAAGTAGGAATCAATATGAATAMGGATAATAATGGGCTGTAATTTAGGTCCATGTCTGCAGGTGTACTTTACTGCGATCTCCTTGGTCGTGCCAGTCGTATTATTTTTCATCGAGATTTTCACCTGTCCACCTCAAACCTCTTGTTACCATTGTCTTTTCTCTTAATAGTGCTAAAATGACCTATTTCATTGATATTAGCATTTTCCTCTCAATTATAAAGAGATAGGGATGGGCATTTTTCGCTGTAAATTGTGTAGTGTAAATTGGAGTGGGYCCTAGCTTGATATTGAGGGAAAGAGATAGAATAACTAATATTATATCAYTCAATTCTATTAAAGGGTATCTTTTAGCTCGACGTCTTAATGAATGTAACCTTACTTTATCTGACAACTGCATAAGTTCAATGCTTTATTCTGCTTTTCAATAAACAACAATCGCCAAGTTTATTTTAACTCGCAGCTCGTACCGGAAAGGAATAGCCATCATTGTATTCGTYCAAAAACAATCAATATTGCGTCGTTTACTCGTTGTCGTTGTGTTATAATAATAAATTACATTTTGAGGTCTTTAGCTTTATCGAAATAACATTTCATCGATGGTATTATTTGAAACGGATGGTTTTGAATTCAATTCAAAGGTACAGRCTAATAATTGAAGCCCTCTCGCTAAAGCCAAGGCAAAATATCTTTTTTAAATTAATGACTCTAAMAATATATCCAAAACATAGTTTTTACACCTGTGGGCCATTTTTGAAATATTTTAAAAATAAAACTTTTCCGAGTCGTTCATTTGGCGGGCGCGTCAGACTTTCGCGCGCTTTTTCCTTCTCCTCAGTCAAAGCTGTTCCTCAGAAAATATAACGGTCTAAAATTTTGAAGTTTGATTCAAGCATACAAACTGAACATGAGGGATCATTACTAACCACTGCGGTCTGCGGTAAAGTATACAATCGATATATCCGGCTTTAGCCACCAAAGGCAGTCTAAATCCTCAACTGAGTCTACCAAAGAACCTTTGAAATATTAAACACTATTACATGAATACTATTCTAGTCAGTCCAAAATAAATTCTTTAAAGTAGCTCCCAAAATCTTAAATCTATCAAGATGTGCTTTATTTTTTCGTTTTAAGAACATTTTAGGTGATTTTTTTTTTACGATGACGTTTTAATTCTAGGTCTGTGATATTTCTTTTTTTTTCCTTCTTTTTTCGATTTTCCTTTCAAAGTACTCTCAGTCGTAATTGTGTATAGCATGTATTGAAAATCTCATTAAGAGCTTTAGGATCCTTAACAATACGTTGCCGAAAACATAAAAGAAAATCCAAAGATCAGCTTTAAAAAAACATTTCACCGTCTCGTTTATGTCTTGATCAAAAGACTTTAGATAGAGGGCAAAAAAWTTTTTCATCCTAATAAACGCAAGAAAAAAAAGACTTAAAATTAAARTCTAGATACTATTTAAGAAAAAATATTCCGGATAATCAGGCCTAAAATAAAAAATTAGACAGCGCAAAAGAAGAAGAAAAAAARCCAAGATGTTTTTGATCTTCACCTGTTTAGATACAAGCGGGAACAATGTTAAATTAGAGCTATTTTGTCGTTATTAAGTTGTGTTACTGATGTGGTTAGTTCGAAATTATTGACAGTAAATTCTTTGGTAACTGTCGAACACTTATTATGCGTCATATGTCTGGCTAGACGATAAAAAGCTACTTTGTCCCCACGTTAGCGCAAATTTCCAATTTTAATGTTATATTGTATCGTTCATCTTTTTGATATCTTGAAATTTTTCCGTAAGAAAGGAAAGATGTTTGGATGTTGTTTGATATCGATCTGGCGAGTGACTTCCTACGTTCTRGAGTAGACTGGGGAAGTATTTTGASATCTATTTTTCGCTCGTTTTTCAGTCATCGGGGGGAAAAAATCGAGAATAAAAACGAATTTCCCAACGCCTAATTCTTAATCTTCTTCAACTTTTGTGCTGAAAAWGAGGAGTTCAACAAAGCACTATGATTTCAAACGACTGAACTACTTCTTCGAGATGAATTACACAACAATAAATCATTATCAAGTGGTCGTGACTTGAGRATCAAAAAATGCCAACCCTAGGTTCCTAAAGCGCCTCGGCTCTTTTTTTCAATCTAAATTAATTGTTGGRAGAAGTTTGATATATCTGTTTATCAGTCAGTAAACTTCACGATGCATTAGAACTGCTCAAACCAAACAAACTCCATGGATTGACAAATTCACTGTCAAACACTAAGAATAATAGCAGTCAAGGAAACACATTCGGGAGCAGGTGTTATTCACGAGAATGTGATTAAAACTCGACTAGATGGAGTTCTGAAGGGACTTTGTTGACAGCTCCCATTGCCTCGATGTTGTATCACTTCCTCAGGGTATTTTGAAAAGCGGGTTTTGTAATTCTAAACTACTTGTATAATATACAAGCCAGGAAACCGGTTGGTTACTCGTTTTTTATTATCTTTAAAGTAGCAAAGAAATATTACAGTAGTCCTAATGAGTGTGTTTGGACCTATTGGGTCTTAAGCCGGATGATAGCCTAGATTGTTTTAGGGGTTCTAAATAAAATTCATCATTCATAAGCCTATTCATATTAATCTAAATCGATGACCAAGGTAAATTGGAGCGGAAACGACGCGAGCTTTTGACAACTGGTAATAGATTTTTTTAACAAAAATGGCAATTGTAAACACCGCTCGCTCTTTTATTCATGGTGTTTGTTTGGCTTGATTTACTTAGATACGAACCGAAAATAATCCTTGAAGTGAAACAATATACACTGTAGTCAAAATGTATATATTTATACAAAACGACTTTTGATCCGAGTAGCAAAGCTGACGATTAATGAATAATGGATTCAGTATTCGTCCAATAACACTTTCTAAATTTATCATAAACTTGACCAGCTGAATTTGTTTTTCTTTGAAAAATTTATCAAAACTGCGGGGTATTTACAAGTTATCCGGACAATTTAGYCCTTTATGAATTTCTAATTACATACAAGAATAAATTGAAGTCATTAACTTGACACACATTGGGTAAATTGTTTCTATCTACATCGAACGATTGAAGTAGGCGAACAAAAACCCCAAGTTGTCTCAGCACCAGACGTGAAGAAACCAGCATTTGTGGTGAAACTACTCACAAACAAAACCCTCGTTTCCCATTTCTATCCTTCCTTTGATGTCTTTGARAAACAATATTTGAAGTAAAGATCAATATAATCGTTAGATCTTAGCTATCACCCCCAAAAAGACCATCAATAAAGCCTTAGGCCTTAATATATATTTCTGCTCGTGTGGTTTGAACGGATGAGCTGATCTATATCTATAATTCTGCTTCTTTAAGRATATGGTCTTTTCTTTTTGTTAATCTAAATGTATTAGATTTAATTGGGTGACGATTATGTAAGCTTTTGTTGTTCTTTTTGGGTTTAGATTCGGGCTGTAAAGAGATCAAAAACCAGCTCAGTTCAAAAGCGGAAGCTTAACCACGTTCCGTGCGCTGTCACCAAAAACACAGACGCGTTATTGAGCTCGTCAAAGCTCAAAAAATAATACCACAAATTCTATCATCAAAACAATAAGCATTTTATCAATTGATTAAGAATTGTAACGGAAATACTGAAGACGACGCTGTTACAGATGTTACTGATGCGTGGTGGTGATCTGATAATGGTCGAGTGGACGCCCCTAACGGTTAAATGGTATCGCTGCACGCCGGGCCAACAACGGCCAACAAACACAACAGCCCAATATTGGAAACACGTTGTGCAAATTATATCGAATTGATACCAGTAATGTTCGAAAATCACGCATTAAGGACTGCTTAAATTTCTGATGATTTCGATTACAGGTTGTATTAAGGGAGCCGGTATTCTTGGCGTTTGCTTAACACCCATTTAAATCTCGTGGGAAAAAAATAAAGCAATCTTTAAAAACGCATGTCAAAATTACGTAAAAATACATTTCCATAAGCTTGAAATTGCCTTCATAATTATTTATTYTCCAATAATTTTGTCTTGTTTTTTTCGCTTTCCACCAGCCGTCGAAAAATAAATTTACCAGCCAGGCTTTTGCCGTAAGAGTGTCAGTCGAAGACCCAATTATGACTTGCGATTTGAACTGGAATTCATTCATAATCAGCCGCGCTTGATCACCTTGGTGAAATGTGAAATATCTAATGCCTTCCGCTCGTATTACCCCGAAAGATACATTTATCATGAGTTTTGAAAATAAAAATAATAATTATGATAAATTAATGATGGATATTTTAGGCCCCACAGTGAGATGATAATGCCACGGAAAATATATTATCCGTGTTAATATTTTTTATACCTTAAAGATAAATCTAGCAAATGAATATAAAATCAAATTATACTTCGTCGCTCAATTTGAAACGTGCTTCAATGGCTTTGTCATCACCAACTSAAATAACCACGTGATGGCGGCCATATTGGAGACAATGATAGAGCTACCCTYTTTCCGAAGTGCTCTAACAAAAATACATGGGTTTGTTATCTTTCCTGTCATCCAACATGGCTGCCATTCCACACCAAATCACAATCTCTATATGTTTTAGAGAGCATYGCAATTGGGTGCATTTATGGATTACGAGTAATATTTTTAATACTTTGGGTTACCTGTGTTGTGGTGTTTGATACTTGGGTAATATTTTGCTGGGTTTCCTGTGTTGCTTGATACTGTGTAKCATTCTGCTGGGCTACCTGTGGTGCTTGACATTTTGCATCAACAGTTCCAATCAGTTGGGTTGCCTTTGTTTGTCTGAAAATCGAGTGACGAAGAATATACCGTTTTTCTAATGTTTTCCCATTTCAGACCACGTGTTATTCTCTTGAGAATGAAATTCCTTGTTTGTTTAGTAACCACATTCATGTGACTTCTAAGATGCAACTGTTAAACAAAGAAATGATACTGAAGGGAATGGTACGTGATCTGAAATGGGAAAACATTACGCCCAAGGTAAAGAGGTCTATTTAAAACAATGTAAAGAAATGGAATGTTTTCTAAACGAAAAAATATTTMAACCAAACTAAATGGATTTATACTCCAGTCGATAAGAAATGCTTTTAAACCGTTATGATTACAGTTAAGCAGCTTTCTCCGATTATTTTAAGTAACCACAAATAGGATTGTACGAACCGCAATTACGCATGGATCTTGAATGAGGCCGAATCACGTCTCATGGTAACATGCATCGTATCACGCGTCATAMATCTTCACAATACTCTAGTTTGAATAGGACGTTTGCAAGATGGCAGCATTTGACTCCCACTACCATAATTATTAGCGAATTTTCTTTCTTATTCAAATTCGTATTCCCTCATTAGAATAGTAAGACATTTAACTGAACGAATTAGAAAGTGTGCAAGGGATTCTGGTAGTAGAAGTTAAATGACGCCATCATGCAAACGTGCTATCTTCTTTGCTCAGTTTTAGCCTCGACTTTTTGTACAAATGTATTGTTGTATTGTTGAAGTTATGCATTCCTTACTTTACCGTTGGTATWAATGAATATTCTGACACTGAAATGAGGCTTCACKCTTCACGCATCACATCACGTTACATAAAACGATTTATGAATCACGCAKCACCRACAACACGCATCAAGAACAAAACGCACCACACGCACAGCAACAACCGTTGTTTCTCACCCATCACACACATGCCACGTTTAAAGGATCACACATCACGCGCGTTTCACGCATCTCCTTTAACATATTTCACGCATCACACATAGCAAAGCGCAATATTCCTCACGCTTCACGCTTTACGCATCACGTTTCACGCATCATGTTTCACGCATCATGTTTCACGCATCATGTTTCAATCATCACGTTTCATGCATCACGTTTCACGAATCACGTTTCACGAATCACGTTTCACGAATCATGTTTCACGAATCACGTTTCACACATCAAYTTTCACGCATCACACAAAGAAAGACGCATTATTTCTYACGCATCACACATCAAGTTTCTCGCATCACACAAAGCAAGAGGCATTATTTCTCACGTATTACGTTTCGCATCGCGCATCATGTTTAACGCAACTCACACTCAATAACGCATCACGTTTAACACACAAAACAACAAGCATTATTTCTCATGCATCTTGTGTCAGGCACAACGCACGTCCAGAATGGCTCAYCACTAATAAAAGATTATACGTCACAAATCTAGCATCGCATGTTTCGGTGCGCATAAAATTAAACAACACGCACAATATGAAGTACATGATCTAACATCACGTATTGCGCATCACTCACCACACAACATCTTTCACACATACAATGTAACGCAACACTCACCGCGCCCAACAATTTCTGCCACTGCGCGCTGCACRCGTGCACATTAATAAATAAATTAAATAAATAAATAAATGGGATTTAGCAGTGGCATTTCCMYAGAGTAGCTATTCATCCACTGTAATTCCAATTGGAATTTAAAATTTGATTAAACCTCGCGCATCGCACTTTASACCCAAACATCCCGAATAACGAACACAAAATACGTTCCACACGATACTACAATGCGCACCACCAAAAATCACGAGGATCGTGATACGCCTCGTGGATCCAAACTACTTTGACAATTTGATGACGCAATTTATCGTCAATAAGAGGACAGACGCATAAAAATCTGAAGTCAATTTGTTAAATTTTCTGGTTAAAAGGTTTGAAATATGCTAAACTGTTACCAGGATGCAGCATTTTGGTGAGCTCAGCTTAGATCTATATGCTCTTTTTACCAAAGTTTTCGTAAGCTATAATGAATAGAAAATCTCCAGTAATTAAGAAAAAAAGATATATAGAAAAATTTTCTGGTTAAAAGGTTTGGAATATATGCTTAAACTGTGACCATGATGCACCTTTAGAGAGCTCAATTTAGATGTATATGCTCTTTTTACCAAGGTTTTCGTGAAAGATRTATGGAATCAACTTCCTGACAACAAGGTTTGTCAAATCCCATTTGCCAAGTCAATCAATCTGGAGTCATTTGTAACATCAAGGATAAACACGGAGACAGGAAATCAGAGTATTTGGCCACTGTTAGGTTTCAAAGCCATCTGATATTACTTACAAGAAGACGAGAAGTCTGCATATCAAATGACTGTTTGCTCTTATTTGTGTCCAATGATTAAGATAGTAAAGAAAAGAGCTGGGGAATTAAGGATYTAAGATGTCACATTTTCCCTTTATAATGAACGGCTTTTCTTCAGGAAATGGAGGACTATTTGAGATAGACCTTTAAATGCAATTTAGCATTTCCGTAAGCATTTTATATCTCATTTTCTGTGCTTATTCCTTTTATTCTTATTTCTTTTATTTCTAAAAAAAGAAAATTCATTTCTTTGGCTTAGGAGGAATTCGATGTCTTGTCGATGACATACAGTAACACGGAAATGACCGTCATACATTGCTTTTGACTGATTCACGGCTAAAGTAGGCTTTATACCAATTTGCCGTATCGGTTCCTAATGTAACAAAGACGTAGCATCATTTCTGTTACCATACGGTACGTCACGGCTAGAGTATGCTCTACATAAATTTGCCGTATCGTTTCCTTAGTAACGAAGACGTAGCATCATTTCTGTTACCATACGGTACGTCACGGCTAGAGTATGCTCTACATAAATTTGCCGTATCGTTTCCTGTGTAACGAAGACGTAGCATCATTTCTGTTACCATACGGTACGTCACGGCTAGAGTATGCTCTACATAAATTTGCCGTATCGGTTCCCAATGTAACGAAGACGTAGCATCATTTCTGTTACCATACGGTACGTCACGGCTAGAGTAGGCTTTGTACGAATCGTTTCCCAATATAACGAAACCCGCTCTATAGACCCCTTGCGGGTGACGTCAAAGGAGCTCAATTTGGAGGAAAAACAAAATCATTTCAATAATTAGAAAATTGGAAACCTATTGTTATGTCCTCCAAATCGAGCTGCATTCCAACGTGCTGCAAGGGGTCTATATTACAGACTAACGCATGAAATTCAGTGGATATACTTACCACTGAGTTGAAAACTTATAGGAGTCCTGTATATTATCATCGGTTCAAATAGTTTTCATATGATGTAACCCTGTAGGCCCTGTAAGAAAGCCGGATCCTTTGCCAGACTTTATGATAACCTGTTTGRTGCGGCCAGATCTACGAAAAACACATAAGAAAATACTTTTCAACTGCAAGTAAATATTTCTCGATTCTAACCACGAACTATCACTTTTTTAGAACCCTGAAACAACCT